CGAAATGCTAGGATAGTTGTCAGAAAGCTGGTTTGTTAATAAAGTTTGACTGACCCATCTACCTACCGACCGTCTATCATCAGGTCGTCTGCAGGTCATTTAGCACCACATTCTCCACGAACAAGCTGTGCGCAAACGAAGAAGGGTTGACCATCGTCCGGCCACACCGCAGCCCAGTCGCGGAAGGTTTTCCTCGCCGACCTTAGTCAGACTGTTTTGTTGACATTCTTTATGTCAACAAAGTGGCTTTAGACATTCATTCGGAATGTTTTGACTAGGGTTACCAAGGGACCAGCCCCTATACATTTAAAGCCGGGGGTGTGGGGGAAGAGAGACGGAGACTGAGTGAGTGAAAGAATGACTGGGGCAGCCTACTATATAAAGTACTAGGGGACCACTTCTTTATTATTACACATCCACGTTTGTAGCGTACGGAACAAAGGGACGGGTGTCAACCTTAACTGTAGCATCTATTCTATGCGCCTTAAATATGAAAAATTTTTTAAAATAGGCCATTCATTGAAGGTGCGCCTTATAGTGCGGAAAATACGGTACTTAAAGTGGGATTTCGAACAGACACAGGCTCGAGAACAGGTAGCTCTGGTAACCCAAATGACTGTCATTACTGTCATTTGGTAATCCAAATGACAGTAAGAAACGAAAGACTAAATACCTACGGAGCATAATCAGACAGCAAGGCACAGCTGTTACCATCAAGAAGACAACGGTGGATTCAATTAACCAGTAAATGGGAAAAAATGAGAGACTCTGTGGCAGCTCATGTTGATTAGTGAGGAAACACTGGAGAAATATTTCTGTTGTCTAAGGAGAAAGATACAATTTATAAAACAATAATACAAAACATGCAAACGGGAAAAATAACAGAAATAAAATATATAATGGAATAGATGAATTATATTCACATAATACTTTTATTATGTAGATATTAACTTAAACACAAATAAAATATTACACAAATAGATAATTTAAGAGTTGCAAAAACTAAAATAAATAAACTAAATACAGATAAATAAACTGATATGGCCCCATCCTATTGATAATAAACATCGCCAAACAAGGAAATGATCAGCTCCGACACTCCAGGATGGTGACATCCCTGTCCAGAGGTTTCAGCTTGTTGGTGTTACGATGTTGCGATGATACCCTCTTCGGGGTGAATTGGATCTTGTAGGAGAGGCGGAAACGGGGGGGATGAACTCTTCATCAGATTCCAAAAAGGATAAGTCCAGCTCGATATCCTTAGTGGGATGAGCCTCATCGAGGCTATAAGGTAAAATGGAAAACATGGTCAATAAAGTTCAAGACAAAATGTGAATAAAATACCCCTTTTCTTATCACTTAGTGTAAATGACTTGTAACAATCTACATTCAAGATTTCTTTTCACCAGAATTTGTCCTAATATTTTATTAAACCTTTCAAAGGAAAAAACTCCAAACTGAAGACATTCTGACACATTTAGACCATTGTTATGTGGGTTTATGAGTGAATAATACAGAGACGGCTGATATAGCTCAGAAAAGGACTTTACACAATGTTGACAACAGTATTCTTTCATCTGCCTTCACACACACATGGGAACTAGAGGGGTGTCTATTCCCACCCCTCGAGGTTAGATATGATAGGAGCAAACCAGTTAAGTTCTTCCGTGCAAAATGCAATAATACATGTTCTGGACACTGGTTTGTGTACTGGTGCTCAATCATGTGCTAACAGGAAGAAGCCATTTTCCAACTATTCCCACAGGGTTGGGATCTTGAAATGGTAAAAAAAATGATGTGGTTCGCTGCCAGGACCACCAGTCTGACATCATGCTCATGTCCAGAGAGTGAAGTGGTATAGAAACCAGCTGGGGCTGTGCAAGGCTGGAGCAGAAGAGAACTGCTGACAGGTTTCACAGAGAGCAAAGAAGCAGTTCAGCTCCTCTACCATTGGTGCACTCAGGACCCCCCACTGTTTACCAAGAGTCCTGTCACAGCAGAGCAAAGTGTGACCTCCCCGTTGCATACTAACAACGTATCATCCCGGGTGAAACTAGGTTTCAGAAATGATCAGAATGAAACACTCCCAAACACAGCGATGAGTTTCATTGTCAAATGATCCATTTTATGCACCAGAGATCTGGCTTTGGAGAACTACAGGCTCGAAAGAAGTGACTTGTGTGAAGGTGAGATTCACAGGGACGGGAAGGACTGTGAGGATGTTTATTTAACAATGCAGTAAAAAATTAAATTATATTTACACAATCTAAGCGTTTTACGAGTAGAACAACTCCTGCTACAATCAGATAATTGTTTGAAACAGTTCAAAAATAACCGGTGGCGTTAAAAACTGTTTTCAAGATTCAATTTCTTATTGTTTCCATCTTCTACCTGAAGGTGCAAGCTGAAATAGATTATGTGCTTTCAAAAGTTTTGATATATTTTTTGTTTGGTAGACTTCATTGGGCTTGGGGAGGGAGTGGCCATTATTCAATGGCAGTGGCTATAATCCCTGGGAGAACAGTTTTCTTTGCAACCCAGCAGCTAGCATATATGAAGATGCTCTTCATACAGCAACAGTAAAGGGTCGGGAGAAACTAATGGGACTTCAACTTTGTCTAGGGACGAAAGTCTTAAACATTTTTTTTTGTTACATTTGAGGCAGGATTTTGAACTCCAGACAATATGTCCACACTGGTCTAGAATCCAGTAGAGGAGATGTAATGACTTCAAGTCGTGCACAGGTGGCATCCCATCATGGTGTTAGTCTCAAATTCATTGTTGCTTTTGAGAGTGACCTATTTGTTCAGTCTCAGTGATGGATTTCATACACCTGGCAGCTGTGGAAGCCACTGGAACACCTGAATTCAATGATTTGGATCAGGGAGCGACTACTTTTGGCAACATCGTGTCTTTGCAAATGAACACATCATTTTAATGATTTCATTTACCTTGGTATTTTGTCCAGGCTTATTAGGTCGTCATGCCACACATGGTTGGTGATAGCAACACCAAAGACATTTGCCAGCACATTCACCACGGTGATGAAATGGTCTCTGAAGGGCACAGAAGAGAAAGAACATGCTGTCAGACTCAACTGTTTTTCTTGAAGGTTTTCTCTGCCTCAGTCTACAACAACCAGATGCACCAGGTCTTCTACAGTTCAGACTGATGTTGACATCATTCTCCAAGTGTAGTTTTATCAATCATTACTACACAAGTTCTCCTCAGGCTTTCTCCACTGGTAGGTGATCCTAGACCAACGATGGGCAATCCTGGTCCTCAAGGGCCGGTGTCCTGCAACTCTTAGATGTCTCTCTGGTCCAACACACTTGAATTCAACAGCTGAATCACCTCCTAAGTGCAGTCAGGTTCTCCAGAGTCCTGCTAATGACCTCATTATTTGACTCAGGTGTGTTGATGTTAAGACACATGTAAAAGTTGCAGGAGTCCGGCCCTCGAGGCCTGCAGTTGCCCACCCAAGTCCTAGACATTAGTTTATTATGCAAGTTAAAAATCATGCCCTTTTTAAGAATAATTTCAAGCTGTCTGATGGCAGAGCAGTATAACTCCATCCAAAGTGACTCCACAGTTTGATGGTGAAAGTACTCTTTAAACACAAGTAGCAGGCTTTGAGAATCAAGTTGAACCTACAGAATCCACTCCACCCCAACCAGAATGGCAGCATCCTCTGCAGGCAGTCCCACAGCTGTCAGAATCAGGATCGTGGTCACAGCTCCTGTTACTGGGATCCCTGCACTTCCAAAGGTGACAATGGCACTAGACAAGCTGCAAACCAAGCACATTCTCAATTAGCATCCCTGTCCCAGCAACAAAAATGCTACAATCTGCAATTGTATCAATCCTGTCCTATTGCTCATTTAGGTCAGTTCAAAATTTACAGTGAAAATATCTATAAATATCCTGAAACACCTCCAGATTATGTAATGTTTTAGAATCAATAGAGTGCCTAGTCTTTGAAGTGCTGCCTGAACCTTTGTCCACTGCTTCTTCCTCTGGCTCTAACTCTCATGATGTGTGTGGTTGCAGTGCGGTGAGGATGTACACTAAGGACCCAGGTTGTAGAAGGTAAGTGAAGTTTTACTGATAATTCAGCTCTCATACAGTCCAGGAAGCTGGCAGCATGGCAGAGTGGTAATCTAGAGCTCAGGAGCGGTAGCAACAGTACAGCTGGAATGAGAGCTGGTGTCGACACAGGACTAACAGTTCTACTATGACGACCACTTAAACTGAACAGACACTCAGGACTTCACAGTTCTACTGAGATGGCTGGCATACAACACGACTGTGAAAGACAAGTCACGACAAGGAACAAAGGACACAGGTGGGTTTAAATACACAGGGAGGATAATCAGGGAACGAGACACACATGGGAAACAAGAGAGGAAGAGATGGGACAACACGGGGACTCACAGATCTAAAACACAGAAAACCTAGAAAAAACACACTGAGAACACAGATCACGACAGTACCCCCCGTCAGCGGGGTACAACCAGGGTGGAGGGGCGTCGGAAGCAGGGTCACAGTTCACGAAAAACAAAATAAACTCAGTCCATAATGGAAAAGTACGATGAGGGCGGAGCCTGCTGTGAACTGTCCAGTGGGTGGAGGTAGAACCCCGGAGGTAGGTCCGGCAGGCATCGCTGGTGCAGGTAATGGACCCCTGGACGCGGGTCCGGAAGACGATTCTGGCGCAGTAAGAGCTTGGGCCTCAGCAGGCGATGCCGGAGTAACTGGGGCCTTTGAGGGCGGCACCGGAACCATGATGGGCCCGGAGGAGGGCTCAGGAGGGCCAACAGCAGGCTCCAAGGGGCCTGCAGGGGGCTCCGAAGACTCACAGGGTGGAGTAGACTCGGGAAGAACGCTGGGGTGCAGAGTCTCGGGCGAGCAATAGGAGGCAGACTCAGGAGGAGCACAGGGAAACTCAGGGATGGATTCTAAAGAACTCTGGGATGGACTCTAGAGACTCAGGAATGGACTCAGGAACAGACTTGGAGGCTGGAACCCCCGGAACAGACCTGGGATCGGGAGCTGGAGCTCCCGGCACAGGAACAGACACTGGGACCCAGACTGGTAATGTCCAAGCAGTGACCCGAGCCACTTGCCGTCCCGGAGAAAGCCTGGCTGCATTAAACCCCTTAACCATCTGGGTTACAGCTGGAGGCGGGATGGGCACTGTGGCAGAATGCTGGCTGGATGCCACGGCGATGAGAGGTGGTGGGTCCGGAAATGGTGCGAACACTGGAGCAGGTAACGAGGCTGGAACTGGGGGAACGGAGATGGACGGAGTGATCAGCGCAGAGGCAGATCACTCCCACCGTCCAACAGAGTGGGAACATGAAGTTTGTTGGTAATGGTGCAATGGTTCTCCCTTCAACACCGCAGATGCAGTCTGAAACTCACACTCTACCTCATGGCGCATAACCTCCAAAACCAGGAAAGGAAACCGGAAAATCCACCCCTCCAGCCAGACCAGCATCCGGGTGGCGGTGCTGAAGTGACTGGCAGGAACTTACGGCTCAGCAACTTCGGCTGTGCAGGTCTGTATGTTCCTTAACAGCAACCGCCGGTCCGCTGGGTCCACGATGACGGAAGGGGCGTTCCCCAGCTTGGCTTGGTCGGATCCTTCTGTCATGATGTGTGGGTTGGGGGTGCGGTGAGGATGTACGCCAAAGACCCAGGTTGTAGAAGGTAAGTGAAGATTTACTGATAATTCAGCTCACATACAGTCCAGTAAGCCACTTGCTGTCCCAGAGACGGCAAGTCTCCGGGACGGCTAGTGGCCGTCTGGGGGTTCTAACAGAAAGTGCCATCGGCAGAGAGGGGAGCGAGAGCTCAGCAGCGGTAGCAACAGTACAGCTGGAACGAAAGCCGGCGTTGACACAGGACTAACAGTTCTACTATGACCACTAATTAAACTGAACAGACACTCAGGACTTCACAGTTCTACTGAGATGACTGGCATACGACACAACGATTGTGAAAGACAAGTCACAACAAGGATCCGACGAGGAACAAAGGAAACAGGTGGGTTTAAATACACAGGGAGGGTAATCAGGGAACAAGGCACACATGGGAAACAATCAAGGGAGGAAGAGACAGGACAACACAGGGACTCACAGGAACACAGATCTAAATAAACACAGAAAACCTAGACTAAACACACTGAGAACATAGATCACGACACTAACCCTCAATGTAGCCACCACTCTGCCCAATTCAGCTTAATGTTTGTGATTCTACTATATCAGCTGTTAACCTGGACTCGGGTTTTACAGGTTGGTTTTTTGTTAATTTGATTTTCTGAACCAGATACAGCGATAAGTAGCAGATCAATAACCTGCTGCAGCATCAGATACTGATGAGTGTAAATCAGAGGTTATGCTAGACTTGTTCATTGTCATTTCTACTGATTGGCTCATTCAGGTTAAGTAATATTGAACAAGCTGAACATAGAACACATGAAGCATATATATA